CTTAACGACTGGAACTCCCTGCCTCCCCACGTCGTGACGGCGACCTCTGCTAACGAGTTCAAGAACCGGCTTGATAGTCACTGGTCTGATCATATTTATGACATACCTACCTAAGCTAGAGCAATAACCGAGATTCAAAGAGCTTGATGAGAACGGGTCCAAAAGGCCTCTGGCCTCCCAAAGCCCTGCCATTAGTAAGGTAAGTAAAACCTGTTGGTGAAAACTTCATCCACAAATAAACTGTAATTGTTTTGTTCTGTTACACCACATGTTAACATCATATTTGGATTCAGGATGTCAAATTATGCAAGAATATGCTAAATTTGTTTGAACGGTGAATAGGACTTTTTGTAATCATTTACCAATGCATTCCTCTTGAGGCACCACATTTAGGTTTAGGTTTAGGTTTATAGATGTGAGCTAGGATTAGACCAATGTCCAATTGGTGCTCACTATGACAAGTATGGTTGCAGTTGGTGTCACGCCGTAGCCAGGCGAAGTGCATGGGTACTGGATTTGGATCACATTGAGGATGATTTTGTGGCCCAGTGTTGGTCTAGCCTCTCTTTGAAAGAGTTTGTTGATGGAGCCAGGACAACATCATCTGGCAGTTTGTTCCAGTGGTTGATGACCCGTTGTGAGAAAAACTGGCTTCTTGCTTTGTGAGTAACTCTCTTCTTGGTCAATTTCAGGTGATGTCCTCTTGTTCTGCTGTCCTCAGTCCTTGCAAAGAAAAGCTCTGGGTCCATCCTCGTCTTCCCTGTAAGGACCTTATATGTCATGATAAGGTCTCCTCTCAGGATTCTCTGTTTGATGCTCTGTTTGAAAATCATTTTCCTGAAGGGAATGATTTTAGAACTGAAATTGATATGTCTTTGAGTGGCCAGGGTCATTGTTGGGGCATAAAAGCTTCAGAATTGTGCTACTTTCAACTCATGCTACAAAACTGCTATTCTAGTTTAAGAACCCATGTTGAAGTGGTACTATTGGGCTCAAGATAAGGGTCCAGGCAACCTGGAGTTTTGATGCAGTGAATACCCTTTACCCTAGCCACAGCTAAGGCCAAGTAGCTATGCCGGTCCTGTAGCTCAGTCGGTAGAGCGTTGGACCCCATGTGGTGAGAGCATGAGTTCCCGGTTACAACAGTCAGGGTTTGAAGCGCGACGGGCGCTTGACATTTATGGGCCTCCTGACAAGTATGGTTGCAGTTGGTGTCACGCCGTAGCCAGGCGAAGTCAGTGAGGGGACCAACTGTGCGCGGCTATGTGCGCAAGTTAAACTTTGGAATATAAATTCTGCCATAGAATCGGAATTGTGCGATCAGAGGGTAGAGGGCAGGGTCAACGCAACAAGGTTCGCTTAGCGGGGGCTCTGTCCTTGTGATTTGTGAATCTCTCCAATCAAAAGGTTCAGACTAAATTTATAAAAAAGTAAACGGTAAATATTTACTTTAGGACCGGCACACTTTTTCAAAGGGAAATTTTCGACAATCTTCCATTATTTGACATCCTAAATCAAGAAATGATACTTACATGTCACCAAAACTAAAAAAGTCACACAAAAACTTGATAAAATCCAGCCATCTCACCCCGCGTCACGTAACGTACACCGACGAAATTATACGAATGCGGCGATTACGATATAAACAAATACGCTATAAGCACAACGTGTTTGCGCCATTGCCATTTGCGAAAAGGAAAAATATGTGCATGTTTAATTCAATGAAAATGACGTCATAATACCAAAAAAATACATATTGGCGAAATTTAAATGGTTAAAAATTGGGTGATATGGGGTAGGATAGCAAATTAAACACGGAAAAAATTATCAGAACATAACCTAACCTTACCTAACCTGACCTACTGATATTTGCCTACCCGGGGATAAGGAAAAAGTTGCTCGCATGAATAGATTGCAAGCAATGGTAGGTCAAATATTTTTAGGTTAAGTGATTGTGCATTAGGCTTCAGGCCTTCGGCCTGAAGCCAAATACACAACCTGAAGTGGAGGGGGGCTTAGAAAGCGAGCAGGCCAAGTTCCTTGATGAATGTCTGAACTCGTTCTTATACCAGCATGTGAGAGAATTCACAAGAGTTAGAGGAAATGACCAACCATCTGTTCTTGATCTTGTTCTAACAAGGAGTGAACTGGAAGTGATTGATCTGGAATATTTGTCACCTGTTGGTTCTAGTGACCACTGTATACTCAGCTTCAGATTCACTGTTGACCATGGAGACCATCAGGGACAGATGGATGGACAGGACAAGAGAAACTTCCATAAAGGGGACTATGAGCTAGCCTCCACCATGTTCGATGAGGTCAACTGGGAGGGTGTTTTAACCCCCCTGGATGTAGATGAGGCCTGGAATGTTTTTCTCAACAAATACCAGTCAACAATCGCCCAAACAGTACCCCTCTACTCCCATGCACGAAGAGGTCGTTACAAGAAAAAGTGCGTGACAAGGGAGGTTCTCCAGCAGGTTAAGCTGAAGGAAGACGCATGGTCGAAACTACGGAAGAACAGAAATTCCAAGAGACTGAGACAGCTATATGTCCAGGCAAGGAATACAGCCACCAAGACAGTGAGGAAAGCCAAGTACGATTTCGAACACAAGTTAGCAAATGAAATAAAATCCAACCCAAAGGCATTTTATGCATATGCTCGAAGCAAGACCTCAATCAAGGAAGACATACTGATGGTCAAGAAGCAAGATGGGAAACTGACAACGACACTAGAAGAAACATGTGAAGAGATGAATGAACAATTCCAGAAAGTATTCAACAAGACGGCTGGAGTATGTCCCCCAGGCCCTCCATTCCCTGCTGATGACAGACTTACGAGGTGTGAAATTGATGTTGATGATGTGTACAACATACTGACACAGCTGAACCCATCTGCGCCTGGCCCAGACGGGATCCATCCTGTTGTTCTAAAAAGCTGTGCTAGAAACTTGGCAGAACCACTGTCGATCATCTTTGGGAAGTCTCTGGCAGCAGGAAAGCTCCCCAGTGACTGGACAAAGGCCAATGTGACCCCGATTCACAAGAAAGGGAGACGCACCGAGCCACTTAACTACCGTCCAATAAGCTTGACCTCCGTCCCCTGCAAGGTGTTGGAGAGGCTGTTAAAGACAAGAATAGTGGAACACCTCGAACAACACAATATTATCACTCAGAACCAGCATGGCTTCAGGTCCAGGAGATCCTGTGTCACTCAACTTCTTGAGTATATGTTTGACCTGGAGAATGACCTCGATGATGGCTACTGCGTTGACGCTGTGTACCTGGATTGTCAAAAAGCGTTTGACTCGGTCCCACATCCGCAACTGCTTGTCAAGCTCAGGAGTGCTGGCATCGATGGAGAGATCCTGCAGTGGATTGATGACTTCCTGACGACTCGCAAGCAGAGAGTATGCGTTCGGGGCCATTGCTCTGGATGGAGAGCAGTGTGGAGCGGCGTCCCCCAAGGCAGCGTTCTCGGGCCAGTACTGTTCCTGGTGTACGTTAACGACCTTCTGGATGACCTACAATCACCAAGGAAATTGTTTGCAGATGATGCGAAAATCTACAGGAGCATCCAGTCTGCCGACGACCATTCCATCCTACAGGCTGACCTAATGAAGCTGGACCAATGGAGCAAGACTTGGCTGCTTACATTCAACCCCGAGAAATGCAAGGTCATGCACTTTGGTGACAGGAATATGAACCATGGGTACACGATGAAGGGAATTGCCTTGGCAACCACTGAACGAGAAAAGGACCTAGGAGTACTCCTGACACCAAGCCTGAAGCCGTCAGCACAAGTCGCACAAGTCGTGGCCGGAGCAAGTGCAATGCTGGGAAGAATCAAAAGAACATTCACCTGTATGGACCAAGAAATGTTCATGTCGCTCTATAAGTCCTTGGTGCGCCCCCGACTCGAGTACGCGGTACAAACCTGGAATCCATATCTGCAAAAAAATAAAACGAAACTTGAGAAAATCCAGAGGAGAGCTACAAAGCTTGTGCCAGGCCTAGCGGACCTACCATATGAAGAGCGCCTAAGAAGACTGGACCTAACTACCCTACAGGAACGTCGGCACAGAGGCGACTTGATCCAAGTATTCAAGATACTAAAAGGCATTGACCTGGTGAACGCTGGCGACAAGTTTCTTGGACTGCAAGCAGGACCACACCGACACAGGACTCGTGGACACCCCCTCAAGTTAAGTAAACCGAGACACCGGACACACAAGCGGAACATGTTCTTCTCGTCCCGAGTCGTCGACAGCTGGAACAACCTGCCAGAAGATGTGGTCATGAGTCACACCATCAGTACATTTAAGAAGAAACTGGACCAACACATGTCGAAACAGTGAGAGAGGCAGCATCCTATGAGCAATCCTGCTCCCATGCCTCTTATCCAATCTACTAGGTGAGCATCTACTAGGTGAGCATCAACCACTTAACCTAAAAATATTTGACCTACCATTGCCTGTAATCTCTCCTAAGGCATTGCCTTCGGCACTGCCGCTGCTTCGCGACGAGAAATTTCATGACGTCACTTTCCTCACAGTTGAATAGCATCGTTAATTTGTATTCACTAAACCTTGGAGCGCAGTGCGTGGCCGGTGGAGTATGCAGCAGTCGGTGGGATCTACGGAGGTGACGGTAAATATTGTATTGGTGCATTTTAACTTGTTTGTGCCATGAATGACTATCAGCTATGAAATCAAAAGGTCAAATTATGTCATGCGATATGCTTCTTACTATCACTTGGGGTTCGCAATGAAAGTAAAGGCTGCCGGTCCTAAAGTAAATAAATACCACCCTCGCCACACTCGAGCTGTGGCGAGGGCGAGGGTATTCACAGCATCCAAACCACAGGTCACCTGGGCCCTTATCTTGAAACCAAAAATAGGTACCTATATTTCCTTTGATGAAGGACTACACACCAACCTGAACCGCTGCCTGAACAAACACCCAGCAGAAAGCATGTGAAAATGAAAAAATATGTGTACCTAATACCTGTGCGCTCAAAACCACGGTATATCAATATAGATAACAGATAACTGCCTAGTAGCTAATAAAAAAGGCCTTGGATAGGTACCTACCTGCCCACTAATCACAGTATATGTAAATGTGTTGTTGTTCTGGGTTAGGGCGCGTAGCAATTGTAATGTGATGTAAATGTGATGGTAATGCCGGTTAATAATTTGGTCACATAATGGAATGTCTCGAACGTCCCAAGTGCGCATCTTTCGTGGTACTAGGGGCTGCCAGATCCAAGGCCAAATGGCAAATGCCAGATCTTGGGTCCCGGAACAACACTATTCGGCCGCAACTATAACAACCATCCATAAATAAAAAAAAAACTCATAAAATTTACAGAAACAACAGGACGCCGGTGAAAACAGGGCGCCGGAGGGCATATTAGTCACGTGACATTTGGAAAACCTCCCCCTCCGTGGCCTTTCCACACGCCAAACGTCACGTGTAAATTTCGCGAACCTTGATCAAATCGCCCCAGGCGCCCTGTTTTCACCGTCGTCCAAAGGACGCCGGTGAAAACAGGGCGCCGGAGGGCATATTAGTCACGTGACATTTAGAGCTTCTCCCCCTTCGTGGGCCTTCTAAGTGCCAAACGTCACGTGTAAATTTCACGAACCTTGATCAAATCGCCCCAGGCGCCCTGTTTTCACCGTCGTCCCGTCCAAACAACAAAGGTGCTTTTGAAATCACAGTGGTCAATTTATGCATATCAGCTTTAAATGTGGTGACCCTAAGTGACCTTGGTGACCGTCTGAGGCGACTTCACCGCTTTCGTCTATTGCAGCATCCTTCAACAAAGGAATTGCCGATTGCGTATACCGGCTACCGCGCTGAACGAGATAAAGACACCACCCACCAGTCGCTTTGCCGTATGCATTTTCACCAGTAGTTTTCAACATGGCGACATCGGTAGCCTGTAAAGCTTAGCTTAGTGTTCGTTTTTGCGTTTGCCTCAGCCACTTTGTAACTCAGGAACTGACAATTATCGAATCGACGAGACAGCGCAACCGGACGATTCGCCGTACACGGATAGACCAGTTACTTTGTATATGGCTACTTTAGGTGACCTCGGTGATCTCGATGGGTCAACCCAAGGTTCAGCCTTTAACAGTTCATCTATTTCACCCATCAAAGTGCCATAATCACCAATACGATTGAGACGAGAACGCCACCGCTCGATAAGTTTACTTAGCAGTTTTCAGCCGGTTCCAATGAGCAGTAAGCTCAGCGACCTCGAGTGACCTCCAGTTAACCTTTGAAACTGGAATTCAAAACAGCTGGTGAAATTGCATACGGCAGGTCGATTGGTGGCGTTCCCGCCTCGATCAGCCTAAATTGGTGCCTCAGTTAGGTATAAGTAAGCGACAATTGGTGTGTGAATTCATCGACGCTCCCTGTGGTCATCATTTTCAATAGGTTTCACGAAGTTGTATACTTACGGTTCATCAATTGGCCGCCTTTTTTCGTCTCCATCAGCCAGGTATTGCAGCTTGCAGTTGTAGGATGCTGGATGGTTGGAGTAGACCAGATCGCTAGGCAGTGCTGACCTCCCAGGGTCACCGAGGTCACCACGGTCAAAATGGCTAATAAAACTGTCAGTTCTGATGCAAATGGTGCTATTTGTGTCTCAGGGCCTCGGCTAAGGAATTTTGACTGGTGGGCCACTTGGGCAGCGACATGGACTGACCTTCGTAGCCATAGCCCCCCTCCCCCATTTTCGATTTCTCCCCAGATTTCGGCCACTTTATTCTGCAAAAAACGTCAGGATGGCATTAAAAAAATGTAAAAAACGGGGCTCGACCCCACCCCCCCCCCCCACCCCGACTCTTCAGAGAGAGGAGAGAGTAGGGAGTAGGGACCCACAACGGGCCCATACCTCTATATATAGTTCTCTATATACCGTGAACGGGCCTTGCCCACAACCCTCTCAGTGGTGATACTCCGGCGGTGCACATAAAATCGCACAAGTAGTATGCACAAAATATTGACGCAGCTTATAAGACTTTGGACGATAACTTACGGCCGGTCGGATGTTAAAAATCAGCGAGCCCTGAATGGATCGCTCGCCGACTAGTCGGAGATTCGGAAGCGGTCGGACGGGATCGGGCGCTGTCGGGTGGATCGGGAGGAATTGTGAACAGCACGAGTGCAACTTTATATATAAAGTGGGTTGTAGCAGAAACCCCAAAAGGGGGTTGTAGCAGCAACCCCAACATCTCTGAAAATGTCATTAAGCCTATTGGTGTCACTGTCGCATGGAAAAGAATTGACTCAAAAGCCCAAGCGCACTGCGCAACCCTAATATTTTCTAAAAAACTAAGTTATGTACACTTCTGGTGAACAGTGTCCCAAACTTCAGATTTCTCTTGGGTGTCTGAGTGGAAATTCTAGCCACCCAAAATGTGAGAGTGGAAAATTATCCATTCTTATTCTTGAGTGTCATCTTCAGCCCAAATGAGAAATTTTTGGAACGCTGACTGTAAACGGTTCGAAATCCGTCCGACTGGTCAGATGTGCGACTGCAAGCATCATACCGGTCGTGAAGACACATCGCTTGCAGACTTCAATCGGCTGGAAGTTGCCGACACTACCTCTAGTTTGACTCTGGCTTATATCGTGTCTATCGGCGAGCCGTCTGAGATCGCTCGCAGGCTTATCTCCGACCGTCCGAACTGGTCTGTTCTTTATTCGTAGTTTTTCTTGTAACCGACTGGTCTGCGGCAGATGCTTAAGGCCGTGTTACACTGCCGAATTTTGGCCACGACCCCGTCGCCGAATCACGTCTTGTAGGAAATCGGCGAGCAGTTCGCCGACAGAGCCCGATTTGCAGAAAACGGGTGGGGGCCCCCTAATCGTGCGCGGGTCGAAGCTGATCCATGATTCGGCGAGCATCGCGAATGAATGGCGAATCTGTGGCGAATAGTCGGCGATACCTTGGCAACAAGTCGGCGCACGCAACGACATGTCGACGGCGACTCGGCGACTGTTTGGCGATCATATTCGTTTATCATAAGTTCGGCGAACGGCCACGAAATTTTCATTTTTCATGAAATATTCGTGGCGGTCGTGAGTCGCGACGAACCGTAAAAGTCGCGCGGTGGACACCGACTGGTCTGCGAAATGCCAAGACCGTGGAAGAAAGATCCCGAATTGGTCCGCGACATAGGATGCTTTGCATATTCGTGCACATTCGTGTACCAAAATTCGGCAGTGTAACAAGGGCTTTATGTGACTTTATATCATCAAGCCCTTGGTAAGCCCTTGAACCACTCGATCGATCGGAAAGCTTGCAAGAACTCTCGCAGACCTCGACCGGCTGGAAGCCGCCGACACTATCTGTAATTGACAGAGGCAGACGTCTTTCACGATTATTGCATAAAATTTAAAGCCTCGGTCACACTTCACCGGATTGGACCAACGCACAGTGGGGATTTTTCCGATCTAGCACGTATTTATTCGTAGAGGGCAAACCATAGGTAGAATTGTAGCCAGATTGTGCACAGATGTTGGCTGGTGTGTCCTGGTGAGAATTTTACCTGTAAATGTGCATAATCAACATAGTATAGGGGGTTCAATTGGACCCCCCGCTCAGCCGTTTGGCCCCTGATCAAGCTAGAGCTTCGCGGAAAAGTCAAGCGTGCTGCCTATGACGAAATTAGGCCGAATATATCCAATTTCAAAGTCCAAGGTCATAAGCTGACTTTCCAAGTCAGTTTAATGACCCAACTAAAGTTGGGAAATCGAGACCTCTTGAAACTTCGCAAAGTTAGGGTGTTACGGGGTATTTTGGGGTGCTGATCACGAATTTCATGTTAGTTTTGATTACAAACGATGTCTTTATGCATTTAGGCCAGGTCGGGTCAGGTCAGGTTAGATCAATTAGTAGGCGTCCTGCCGGCCATCCATAGAAGTGTCACCTACTACTGATAGCTTCGTAACATGGAACGAAGGCACTAGAACTACTTCGTAAATATTCAAATGGCTGCTAAAATCGAAATCAGCACCAAAAACTACCCTAGAAACAAGTAAAACTCGAAAAAGTGAACCAAGGTCATCAAAAGGTCAATGACCTTGACTTGACCTTCACGTGACCTTGACACCCACCATTATGCATGGCTCCAACATCATTTCACATATTTGAACGTTTAAAACCACAAAAAGACTGGAAACCGCGGATAATGTGAGCTGGCATACGCCGAATCGCGATTCCGGCCAAACATGGTCTCGAGAAATATGCCACAGGTCAAAGGTCAGTTGGGTCAGAGTCATGAAATTTTTAGGTTAGATGTAAAATTGATGATCTCGAGGGTACCGAAAGTTTCGGCGCGATCGGCCGCTTTTTGCGCGAGTAATTTGCGGAAAACCATGGGGTTTTATCCGACCCCTTCCCCCTCCCCCTCCCCACAAGTGCGATGGTTAATAAGGTTACGGTATGTATAATTTACGCTTGTCATCCTATTCCTAATGAATGTGTCTCAGAAAATATGCATCATATAAATCACGAAGTAAAATTATTCACCTATGTCCGGAACATACCTATATCGTGCTGTTTGCCCTAGCGCTCCTCGAGTGGGGTGTTAAGGTGTTAAGATACTCTAATGTGAATATTCCGTGTTCAGGCAAGTTTCGGCAGCCAAACTAGGCGTTGTCTTGTGCAGAAGAAAGTGGCGAATTCGATAGGATATATTTCGGAGTGGAAAAGTGTGGAGAACATTGTTGATTTCCTACATTTATTTAGAATACCATTCCTTCAATATGGTGTCTGTAAGGGTTTTTTGTAAAGGGCATTTTTGTGACCTTAGTAAGGTTGTGGCATACTTTCTGTTTGCCATTCCATTCCTAATAAAGGTGCCTTTCAGACGATATGCAACCTTAAGACCTCGCAAGATTAAAACCAACAGGACAGGACAATGAAATTGAGCTATACTTTCGGGCCTTGCTGAGCCCATTGAGTAATCACGCATGAGTGTGAACTTTGGGCGCATTTTTCCTAGTTTTGCTGTGGACATACAGATAAAACAATGGCATATATGAAAAATTCAGACATTTCTTAGCCCTA